CCAATTAAAAGAATCCTTGAACTAATCGAGAGGAGACAATGCGCCGCCGTTGCTGTCGCGTAATCCCGTAATCCGTTAGTTCCTGTTCCGCGCTGTAGACTCTATTAAATGCCTTCGCAGCACTCCTTTTCTCCGTGCAACACAGTCAGCCGTGCGTTTCTAAACCGCTCCTCTCTCTCTCTCTCTCTCTCTCTCTCTCTCTCTCTCTCTCTCTCTCTCTCTCTCTCTCTCTCTCTCTCTCTCTCTCTCTCGCTCTCGCTCTCTCTTGCTTGTTTTTTTTTCTTTCGAGGCCGAACTTCTGCCGCAAAAACAATGCAAATCGCACACAAAAGTTCGTTAAATGTTCGATTCCCAAGCTCGACCAGGCTGAGTATACTTGGTTTTACGAGCTTGGCTAGTGTGAAATTAAGTCCTAATTGCGAGACAATTTGGTACGGTCTGGCTAGCGCGCAAATGCGTGCGCCTTACGGTTTTTTAACGGAACTCGTTGCAACGCGGATTATCGTAAAAGTTTGTTCTGTCATCGATCGCCTTGTTTATTTTCCTTTTTAACTGAAAAGCATTCGAAACGAAGACGCGCGCGTGCAAACAGCCCTGACAGCTAAATTACTCATCTAGGGCGACACGCAATGCCAAATTAATGATATCAAGAACAACGATACCTTCTTTTTTTCTGAACCTACTCATCTGAATATGCCCGTGTATTTGCGACCAGGAATGTCGAGAATTTCCGGATGCCACTAGCGTGATTAAAATATTTTATAATTTGTAATTACTCGAACGTGTGATTAACAGATGGGTTCGAGTTGAGTCATCATTGCAGTGACTTTTGATATATTTTCACTTTTACACGGCTTCGTTGGTGTCCGATCAGCGGGATGTTTGGTCGTTGTCAGATTCCGATAGCGGGGGAAAAACTATTTCTGCGTGTCGCGCGTGTCAGCATTTTTTAGCTCTTCAATTATTCATTCTGCGTATACGTTTTTCTATTAGCGTCGCTGAGTATTAACGATTCTTTTTCATCAGTACAATAAACCATTCGCGTGTAGTTGCGATATCAAGATTATCTCGGAAATGAACTCGCCTTCACCTAGAAACATCGTAACCCCGAAAACCTCCGCGTAGAAACCCAAAAACTAAAGTCATTCTGCAAACATGTCCCGAAAAGCTCTACGCAAAAAAGGCGAGCCAAGGCCGTGACCCTCCCCGAAAATAAGAAATCACTAACCCGCAATGTTCTAGAAAACGTAAACACGCGAAATATCCTCCAGGGAAAAGCACAGCCGTTGACATTGAAGGTGTAGAGGAAGAAAAAACGGGCCACCGGCGACTTTGCACCTGGGAGAAAAAGAAAACCTAGCGCGAGGAGGTCGAGGCTTCGTTAATTATGTAGCCTCCTACTTCTTCCCTGTTTGCCTAACAGAAATAGACGAGGCTGTATAAATTTTGCGAGAGAGAGAGGTGCTTTTGCAAGCTCATTTATTTATAGCGATCGACGCCGACGACGACGCCACGGTTTAAACAATTTCGAGGTTTCGAGGAGAGCAGCCCGTCCGGATTATTGTTCGCCCGTTACGCGTTGTGCGCATTATTCATTTTGTCTGGCTTTTATAATTACGATTGACTCGGCGCGTGATATGCTCTCGAGTAGCTGCCCGCTTGCTCCTGGGTATTTTTAAACTTCGCTCGTCGACTTGTGTTATTCCGACTACGCGCTAGTTGTTACGATCGCTATCAGCGGCAACGAAATACTTGCATCACCAAAGCTACACACCTTGCTGAAATATGCGCGCGAAACCACATTCGACTCGAACAGGTCGAACGATGCTTATCGTCTTCTCATTTGGCGGCTGTAATCACGAAGCTCGATGAACAGCTCGCTGCGCTGATCACTTAAAGCGGCTAAGAGTGAAACAATCGTGAATGCTCGTTGCACCGAAAGCCTGTCGATAATACTTCGACAAATGACAGAATGCCGATCGGGATGGCGGTCAAAGTGAGGAAAAATCGTCTTTCTTCTGACGAGGGAGGTGCACCTATACGGTCTTCTCGAAAAATAATGTTCCAACTGCGAATCGATCGCTTTCGGTCGCTTCATAATTCATGCACTCGCCATCCACAGCAGCATCCATCCATCCTTCCCCATATATATATATATATATATCGATTACGCAAAACTCGAGTCGACGTCCGCAACGCCACAAATAGCCGCTGCACGAATTACCAGAGAGAAGCCGCTCGATTATATCTACGGCGAGAGAGAGAGAGAGAGAGAGAGAGAGATAGGCTGTGTTAAAGTTCGATGCGCGATTTTCGATTGGCGAGCTCTGAGCCGATGGATTCCGATTGACTATGCGAGGATTTGTGTTTTCAGCCTTTTTTATTCGATTTCGCTGGGTAAAACATCAGCGTTGTTTTTTGCTAGTTAGTTTGATGCTAATACATTATTCATTTTATAAAAAATCAGAAAAAATTTTGACATCTCTCTTATTTACGCGTTCAGATCGTCAAAAAATTATACTTTTTTTTGTTTCTGCCAAGATTTTAGTAACGTAAACAAGTTTCAGTTATTCTTGAAATTGTTTTGTTCGATGTGTCTCATTTATACTCTGCGTGAATTCTCCACGGTGTCAACATATTTCGTTTACTTGCATGATTTATCCACTCTGTAATAATAAAAGCATACGAACGAAATTCAGTTAGTATCGAAGTTTGATCGAATCGGAATTTATCATGCTTGAAATGCCTGAAATTGAATTTATTGCAGTAATTGCTCCCGGAATGTGCAGTGCCTCGATCGCTTATCAAATAACTTTATCGAGGCCTCACCTAGTGGTCGTGAGTTTGTAATTGAAAGAAACATAATCGGCGTTATTTTATTGCAACAATAAAAATCAGATTTGACGTTTCAATTAAAGCAGATGTAACGCGTCGGCCGAAACTCGCCGAGGCGAGCGTGATCAGTAGCGATTAATCAAAATGGCGCTCAACCAATAAAAAAATCGTACAATTAGTCGTCGTAAACTCGACACGACAAGTCGCCGCGCGACAACGACAATTGCTCGCAATATCGCAACAAAACTGAGCGCACGTGCTATCGCCCAACTCGATTACAAGTATTATTATTGAGGGTGGCGTGCGCGTCTCGCCTGTGCTTGCGAGCAGAAGGTCAACGTCCGCGGGAAGCTTCTCTCCCGTCGCTCGCCGCGGCGACGGAAAGAAAGCTACGCGAGTCAACGGAGCGGGGAAAGAGCGTCGTGACGATTAGTAAACTTGACCGCGTTTTCGCGCGCGAACAAGAGTCGACGGGTGGCGGCGGTAAGTGAAACGGCCTTCGGTTAATAATAGCCGCGGCCCATTCCGACGTATCGACGAGGGCAGTTTATCCCCGTCGCTTCGCGGCAATTTCGCTAGGGGAACACCGATTGAAATGCTCGATTAGCGACTACGCCTCGTTCATCCCAGCGAGAAAAGTGTGTCGTTCGATTGCGTCGATAACGATAACAAAGCTTTCTTTGTGAGTTTCATTCTGAATCGATCGTCGTCGGTCAACGTTCGCTTTTATTTTTTCTTTTTTTTTTCTATTGAAGCGTGCCAGACGTTATTACTCGCGGACGAAAGGCCGCCCTATCTCTGGACAGAGAAAAACTGCAAACAAAGCCAATCCCATGTTTATCAAAGCAAACCTAGTAGCGGCTTGGAGAGTAAAGAATGGGCCATTTGTCCATCACTACAGCTTTATACAGTGCGTAATCCCGTGTATGCGCTAGTCTCTCCGCTGATTGTTGATAAGGCGAGCGATCAATCAAACTGGAGACACGCGCCCAGCGAGGAAGTGCAGCGCTGCCGTGCGAGGCGTCCAGCCCGCGCGAGCGGATGTACGTTGATCCGAGCGTGTGTTTATTGCTACTGACGCTCGGCTTTTTCGTTGCGTGGAAGATTGCAGCCTTTCTTGCGATCCATTTTATTGCGGAGAGGAAATGTTGCGCGCGTCGTAACGCGTGTCGGCGGCGCGAGTGCCGGCATCGAGCTCCATCGCTATAGTAGCGCCCGTTCGGTCGGCAAAATCTGTGCTCGGAAAGCGCGCGATGCGTTCTCGTTCTCCTCGCCCGAGAGCCAACGACGGCAAATCGCCCAGGTGCGCTTCGTCCATCTTCCTGAAAAACTTCCTGAAAACCGGGCCAACGTACACGTTCGCCTCGGTTAGCCCGATCGGCTTCGCGCGAGCGCCAAGCGATCGCCGCCAATGCGATCCAGGCAGTTTCGCTTGCCACGCGCAGGCATTTACCCTCGGCTTTTCTTTCAGAATTCCGCTCTGCAGCCCGCTATGCGCGCGCGACTGTACGTTTCGCGGCGCATACCACCGACTGACGTCACCCCATTCAAGGTCGACTGATGAACTCCTTGCTTTTTTCTTAAACTTCGATTTTTGCGTTGCGCGGTCGCGATGCCCTTTTTTATTTCTCGCGCGCGAAAGCTCGCGCATGAAAATTCGTCGGCGTTGCCTGTCGGAAGAATTCAGCGAAATCATCGCGCTTTCGGTACTTTATTGCGCCTGCGGCTTTTTTATTTGTTTACAGTCGCGGCGTGCGTCCCGCGTCGTTGCACTTTTCGATGGGCGTCTTACGTATATACCGTCTTGTTTGCTTTGATAAGCCTTTGGTCGGATAAATCCAACGCATTCTCGTTTGGTTTACACTGCAATAAAACTTTCCATTGTAAAATTGTAAAATTATGCCGATAAATGGAACCTTCCACGGGAAGAATGGACTTTTGCATGAAAAAACAAAATTGATCCGATGTTGCAGGCTTTTGACAAAGCGAAATCTCCAAAATGTCTCGATAAATTAGCCTTTCTGTTTCATTAAAAGCCCGACGAGAGAAAGAGCGAGAGAGAGAAAGCAAAGGGACAAAAGCCCTTCCCTCTTTCAACTACTCTCGTCTAACGAGCGACGAACCCTCTGAAAAAAAGCTTCATTTTATCCTTTCTCATTTTGCAGGCGATCGTGTGTGTTTTCCGTCGGCGCGCACGATGTGAAGTGAGCAATATGGACGAGAAAAACTGAGCGGCGCAGCAGCAGTTGCAGCAATTGCAGCATTATGACGGAGTATCTGGATCCGCATTTTATTCGGGCGCTTTGTCGGGATCCAGAGAGGCGCACGCTTCAGGTGAGTGTGTCTGTGTGTATACATGTGGGTTGAGAAGTGAAAGCTGCACGAGCAGAGGATGTGAATGAAATCTGTCGCGCGGACTTTTTTTTTCCTTTGCGATGCGGAAGTTTCGCTCCGTAGAGATGCGTGTGCGTTAGTCGTTTTTATATCTCGGGTAGAATTTTTGGGTTTCGCTAATTGTTTCTAAAGTGAAGTTCGTAATTGCAAGTGTCGCCTGTTTCATACGTTTCGACAGTAGGAACGTTTTGCAAGCATAAATATATTAAGAAATTAAAGTGGTTGATAATCGACAATCGGTTAGATTAAAATCATTAAGAGAAAGATTACCTTCAACCACTTAATTCTTATAAGAGTACTATGAATGTTATGTAAAAACCTATTGAAAAATCATCAAGACAAACGAATTTCTCAACTTTCACTATCAACCGTAATGTATTACAAATGGCATTCATTCGAGTATTTATTGACCAATCCACCTCCCTCCCCCCATTTTATCATTCCTCCATCCGTGACGAAAAAGCCTGTATGCTGGAGTTTTTGATTACGAGCGCGACAGGTGAAAAATATCGCGAGAGAGTGAGAGGTGTAGGGACGAAAAAAGGGAGCACACACGGGGACGTGAGAAAAGACGGTCACGCAGAAATTCCTCGAGCGGTACAGCGCCTCCGGCTAAGCGTGAGCCCGTTGATCCAGACGTATAAATTCGACGACGCAACTTCCAAGCGGCGAAACTTTCGTATTGTTTTTCAAGCGTAGGAAGTGTAGAGTGAAGTTGTTTTCGATGAAGTCACTGATGAAGGCCTTAGTTGCGAGCACTTCTTTCGATTGCCGGTGGAGTTTTGCGCGCAAAGTGACACGTCTCGGATCGCTCGGTGAGTTTTAAAACGGAGTAAAAAGGCGTATAACGCGTATGCAAGCAATCATATCTAAATGCAAATCGAGCGCGCGTAAATCTACGAGTAGAGAGAGTTCGCGCAGCGCTCGTGCTCGAGCGGACGCGACGCGTTCCACGGTAATTTTTAAGGGCCGCAGAACAATAAAAATCCTCGCGTCGGCTCATTTGCAATAGTTCGAGTTCAGGAATGTTTGCTTGCGAAGATGCTTCCGGTTCGTCGAAACATCCGCGGCGTTATTAACGTCCCGCGGCATCGTTGCCTTGAAGTGGATTTTAGTCGCACGCGACCAGTTTTTGCGTTTTACAACGACCTCAAGGTCGTCCAGTAGCCATGATGCTGCCCGCTCTCTTTTTCATTTTATTATTTTCTTTTTTTGTCTTCTCGCGATATCGCGCGCGAAAAGCGTAGAGAAACAAAGGCACGTGTACCGCGATTTTATCGCCGAAAAGAGCTACTGCCGGAAGAGAAAGGCTCTTCTCGCGGAGCGGTTCTTTTTCCACTTTTTTAATGGATCGAAGAGAATCGGTGTTCGTTCGCTCGTTCGCCGCCTGTTTTCGCGGTAATTGGCGAGACACTAAAAACTACGGTCGCTTCTGGATGCTCGTGATGAGGATTACAAGAAATCGCTTTTTTTTTTTGTTTGGTGTATGTAAAGAGATGATTGTGAAGGCTGAGGAAGCTACTTTTGCTTATCGATGTTTTATTTTGTTTTAATATTAGTTGAAGTTTGATTGATTAAATCAATCACGTTTGTATTGTACTGTCTGTCTCGGAATATTCTTACCGGGACATTCCATGCGAAACTTATGGTTGCTGGAAAATTGTTTAACTCTTTGCTATCACTATCAATTGGTCTTTGTGTAGAAGAACTTTTCTTCTCGGCGCTGCCAGCCATTCAAAAATAATTGAAAAATTGGTTTTTCTCGGTTAGAATGTTACATGGAACATAAATAACTGCGAAATGAAACTATCAATGATACAATGGGCAGATAACAATTTCGTATCATAGATCTGAATCGACTCAGTTTGAGACAAGACTAATTTCGGTTTTCGGTTGCTGCGGGCGCACCACGTTACCGGACAGAGTCAATAACGTTTGTGGGCTTTGAGGTTTCCACTGGGAGTTAATCATCTGAATCCGTTAAGCGTTGGATATTCAAGTTGTCCGAAGCAGCCGAGCCAAGTTTAATCGTATCGAGTAAAAGGAGAAAGAAGAAACTGATTATAAATTTGGCAAAAATGTAAACATTACGACAGAGTCTCGAAACACGATGGATCCTTCGTTGCCCAATAAAGCTATTTTGAAAACACCAAAGAACATATAAACTCATCTTCGGCAGTGATAAAAAGTAGCTCGTCGTCGACGCGGCCGTTAGACGGACTATAATCGTCAGCAGTGCACTTTGCCTTCGATCGACGACGGCGGTGGTTTTTCACACGCGACGTTGCGTGACGCATCATCATTATACATATATACATATACACATGCACACGTAAAGCGTATCTACCTTCCTCTCCCTTTTTCCTTCTTCTTCTTCTTCTTCTTCTTCTCCTCCTCCTACCCTTTGTCCACGCGGTCGCTTAGTATAGTTTTCGACGATGCCATTTTGCGCGTGAGACTTTGAAAAGCATAAAAAATTTCACCTCGGCGGGAAAAATTTTCACAATTGTTTCGCGTGAACTTTCTCGGACTCTGAGAGACAATGAAGAAAGGAAAAATATGATTGTTTTTTCTCTCTCTTTGCAGGATCTCCAATTCATATACTATGGACTACTCGGACTTGAAGCATTGCGGCCCTGCAGAGACTCGGTGCTACGGCAGCTTTGCAAAACTGTGCGTTACGAGAGACATCACGCCAACCATGTTCTTTACTAGTGAGTACATTGTTCATCTTAATATCAGCCCTCTTCTAATCCTTTTTTATCATTGAGTGATTGAGGAATATCGATTTCATAAGCACGCTACTACTTTTTGCCTTTTTACTTTCGATTCATGATTTTTAACACTAATTTATGTTTTAACGCTTAAATATTATGTCGAATGATACGCCGTAAAATTAATATGCTCAGTCCAAGCAACACAGCGTATCAAAAGAAAAGAAAATTTCGACATTATATAAACTCAAGCGTAGAGTTGCCGTCATGTACGCGTCAATATAAAGAAGATTTCAGCAACGTTATGCGTACACTCAAACCGTGGAAAGACTGCCTAGTTCTCCCATACGCTTCTTCGCCGTTTCTGTTTTAACCAATGTTCTCATGACAGTCGCAGCACGCGCGCGATTATATGGGTTTACGTAACACAGATATATCTCTCTCTTTCTCTCTCTATGTCGCGTGCGTATAGAAATGAGAGAGACCGGAAATGGAATTTCACGGTGCATCCTCGTTGTCGACGGTTTACGCGACGTCAGAGTTTTCCCGTTTCGTGATGTTGTTAAGCTTAACAATATATCTCGTGTACATGGCAATTAGTGAATCGCGGGACCAATTAACACGAACGCCCGATAAGTGTCTCTATCAGTTTTTCTGTTTTCAAGTGGGTAACCGCGAATGTAAACAAACAATCGATCAAAATGAGAAACACGTGGTTATGGCAGTTGGCGTAAAATGTGTTGCGGCACACGTACGTACGCTACATAGACTGATAATGGTAAGATAGAATTTTCGATGTATGACGGTAGCGAGGAGAAAGGTGGATTGCTGCCTTACCGACTGAATGATGTCGGGAAGTTACCGTGTGATGGATTGTCAAATAGTTTTGAGATCATCGCTTCGCAATGTGAATAAGCATATACTAGATCAAAATCAATAGAAAAACTTGATTTATTATGTAGATTAGAGTTACAAACTTTGAGTTTGCAGCAGTATCGAGTCGATTCATTACCGAATGATCCATTTTTCCTACCTTACCGACAAAACACCTGTATGAATTGCATTCCAACGTCAGGTGTCGTAGATATTCAATCCAACAAATACATATCTTATATTTTGTCATCCATTAAATGCCCATCAAGCTTCGATTACGACAGCTCGAGTATCTCGAAGTGAATGAGGATTCCTGAAAAATGAGTCAATCCTATGTGTCTCTCAAAAATAAAAAAAATATAACACAGTCATTGTAAATAATGAAGCGTTCGTTTCTTAATTTGGAATAATCGAACTTTCGATGCGTGTCAAAAAAAATGAGCTTCATTTTTGGAAAAATTTGATCGATATTTTCCTTTTTCTCTGAGAATAATGTGCATTATTTGTGATTCTCTACGATTAGTTAATTATTCTACTTTTGCAAAAAACCAATACCTGCGTTTGCTTATATAATTAAACTTCATGAAGGTCAGAACACTAAGTGATTTACATTCTCAATTCTATTCGCGAACGTTAACGGCAATTTTTTATCAATGACACAATTACCCAAATCTTATTAAAGAATGTTGTAAAAATAAAGCTAAAAAACATTTTATCGAGTGCTTTCATCGAGACATTCCAAATATCCTATATTCATGATCAATAAAGAAAATATATGTTGGAAATCTCAGTGTACGATGTATATTATGCGCACACTTTGCCGCTACAGTCACGTCAGACACGAACTTGAAAAAGATTATCAGCATTTCTTTTTCGTACTAACACTCCTTAAACTCTCGGAAAAGATACAGAAAAAAATAGTGATGACTGCAGAGTCAGTCGGTCGTCGAAGAAAGAGCAGCTCGAGCTTCCGGCCGCGAGCGAGCATCTCCCTCTCTTTCTGTCTCTCTCACTCTGACTGTAATAACGGAACAGCACCTCCTTTACGTGGAAAACGCGCTAATGCAAGGATGGAATTCTCGAGCACCGACGTCACCGCGATTCGGAAATCCGAAAGTCTCGAGGAAGTTGCGGACGGAGAGTTCCAGTTTTCGACTTTTTAGTCTTCAAGGGTGCATCAGAAATCTGCTATTTTTTATTTGTTGTCGTTCGTGATAATGCGTAGTGGATAGTAATTAGCAGCTACATTGTAACAGTATCGGCATTAGCCTGCTCTAGAATAGAAACTTGCCGATCTAACCAACCCGGTTCGGATAAGAAAGCCAAGATCGGTTAGATCAACAGTCACAAGAATTCGTGCCTCTCTCTAGCTCGATTTTTCCTATTGTAAAATTCAAAACTCGTCTTCCCGTTTACATATAACTCAGTTTTCAAGCCAGTCGTCAATAACTATAAAAAAGAAATGAGCATTCAGATTCTCTCTCTCTCTTTTTCTTTCGTAAAAAGTAAGAGAAAGAAGAGAGTTTTGACTCGGACGGATAAGGAAGTGACTAATACCTACTTTGTCATTCACAGTACCGGCGAATTGGCGACCAGCTGGTACATCCTGCTGTCGGGCTCGGTGTTCATCGACGGATCCATGTTCCTGCCCAGATCAAGGTGAGGATCTTCTGATGTTATACGTACGTGGCGACATTGGAGGGACTGATACGCGGCCGCTCACCCGAGTTTCGGTATCGCATAAACTGCCATCACGTCTTATAATACCAATGCTCAAGTCGCGTGTAATGCATCACTTTTGACGAATGCTTGGTCGCCATTCTCGACCGAACTAATCCGCGCCGGTCGTTATTCGAGTGATTGGCGAAATTGTGCCCTCTTCTTTGCGGGAAATTGAGTCGATGAAACGTTCGAAGAATTATTATTACGAGATCGACGTATACTCACCAGAACTTACGTAATGCGGTCTCACTTTGTTTACTTTTTTTTCACATGCACTTTCCAGTAAGAGAGTAACCGTAAGGCGATTTACCGATTTTTCTCCTCTCCATCCCGAAGAAAAAGATCATTCTTTCAAAATATTTGTCCTAGCGCAGGAAAAACGAACAATGAAAAAGTCGCGTGTTCATTGGTAAATAGTCTCATCCCGACAATCCGGAAGACTTTTCCACTCGTGCGCAAGAAGAAGAAGAAGAAGAAGAAGAAGCCATTGCACCCGCGCCACGAGAGAGATCGTTAAAGGGACTCTCTTCTTGCAAGAATGCAACTGGAGACTTTTTTACGAGGGCTACCGGATAATGACCGCCGCTGGTTTTTTTCTCTTTTTTTTTACGTTGCTGCCTCGATGAGCGTTTGAAATCGATGGTTGGTGTACGTATACACGAGGGTTTTTTCATACACACACGCGCGCGCGCATACGCCACTCCAGTGATTTCGGTTGTTACGGCTTGCGGCTCGTAAAGTTTTAGACGCGTTACGTACTTTATCGCTTCGCGGGCAAATTATCATTGACTGGTTTTTGCGCGCCGCGTGGAATTCACTGCCGCGTGATTGTAAAGTTTTCTAACGTTTGTGCTCGTAGCAGGATTTTCGAGACTGGCTCTCGCGACGACTTTCCGTGAAAAATTTTCGCAAAGCCCGAAGCGCGAAAGACGGAGAGAAACCGAGGGCCCGACTTTTCGAAGGGGTCCTCGCGCGCAATAGAAAGTCTTGTTTGTTTCGCTCTCGAAAAATCTCATTTTACACGTGTATCTTTCCAATCGGAGTATCTGCGCATGCATAATTAATCGCTCGCGAAGTCGCAGAACACATAAACAATCAGAGCAGACAAACACACCGAGCGATCTGAAACACTTCCCGAGAGGAGGCAGTCGCGCATAAACTATTCCAATTGGCAAGTGCTTTTCACTCCGCGTGTGTATGGCGAGTTTGATGATGGAAACGCAGGCGGCAAACTTAAACAAACCCTGTGCGCGAGCTGCAATTTATACTATATATCGTTTAGCTATATCTATTTTAGGTCTGTCCCTCGCTGATAAATGGGTCGCTCGATATGCGCGTACGACAGAGAGCCTTGTATGCGAATGCGAATGTCGTATGATTTCTTTTTTTTTTTCGGGAACTTGGAATTAACAATCACGGGTTAGTGTCCGAAAAGAAGAGGTCGTTGATGTTAGATATTGCTTGGGCGGACATTTGACGAAGGTTATCGATTTTCTTTGTTTAAAGACAAAATCCAAAGGAGACCTGTCGAGTGCGTTTAATAAAATAAAAAAAGTAATGTTAATTCGAGAGACGCCCAATTCACTCGCGCAAACAATCATCAAACAACTCGGATCAAACGACAAAGCTTTCCTCGGAAAAGAGAAGGATGTTCGTCAATGCACGAAAGCAGCCCGTCGGAATTCGCGTCTGTAAAGCGAATAGCCGAAGATGAAGCAAAGCAGCAGCTATAGGTCAAGCTCAAGGCAGGATTATCGCTTTTCGATGATTGGCCCAACGAGACGAAACGTTATATGGCGACGTTTGAATTTTAGCGTGCGTGAGTCGCAGCCACTGACGTCGCTCTCTATGGCTGCTTTTCGAAGCTCGCCGAGAGCTTTTCCCGCGTTTTTTTTTGCGCTCAATACACTGATAATTGGTGTACGAGGGCTTCGCGCACAGTGGGCGAATTTTGATTTGGCTTTGCGTTCAATTTCGGCGGCTTCATTTGATAATGGTTTGGTTGAATGCTCTCGCTGGGATTAGCTGGCTTGAATCGGAAATCTGCCTATCAAACGTCTTGGATATTTCACGCGAGAGGCGTATGCTAAGCGCTAAAAGCTTTTGGTCTCGCCCGAGTTCTCCGCGATGCTTTCAGGCTTTGCTCGGGCTCTCGAGAAACAGCAGAATTCATCTCGCGCCATATTTCAAAGCCTCTGTTGCGAGGGGATTGCTCACTCCTGAACGCGTGAGGCGAGAGGGTAATGAGCGTGATAAATTAGTAAGTGACGTCCCGCGAGCCTGCGAGACGTTCCTTCTCCGGGATATTGGAAAATTTCACGCGTCGACTGTAATCGATTGTCACATCGAAGGTCGCCATCGTCGTGTATTTTCATTCCAGTGCACTCTCGCGCGACTTTGCATTATAATCTGTTAGAAAATCCTGACTTTCTGTTTTTTTACTGCCACCGTTTTATTCTTCTCTTTCTTTGCTTTGGAAAGATCGGACGGGCAGGAATTGCTTTGCTTTTGAGCGATTTGTGCAAGTAGTTTTCAAATTCGAACACTATGCGCCAAGTGTAAATAATGTTCAATTTGCGGAGATAAAATCGTAGGTTCGAATTTTATGAGAACTGATTCCACATGGTTGAATACAATCGAAATGTACATCCGCAAATTTTCACGTATCATGTTGAAATGTGCGCATGGTCAATTTGTGGAGCAGCCTAGTTTCAATGAAAAATTTCATCCTGTCCAGATTCATCGTGTGTCAATTACATTTGACAGCCAAGAATTAAACGTCGGAATCTATCATTACGACAGAAATGGCATTTTGAGCGATAAAAGGTTGTGCGTTCATCATCATTATTGAGAAATCACGAGAAACGCCCGAAAGGAAAAAGTGGATTTAATTTGTGAGAACAAACCCGTTCATTGTTGGTGTACCTCCCAGTCATTGAAAAAAGTCTTTCCGCGTCCACATCGTAGTAACGAATCACGGAACCGCGTACACACACCGCGAATTGTTCTCTCTCTCTCTCCTTCCCTCTCTCTTTTCTCTCTTTTATTTTTCGGCCCTTGCATGATTCGCGGCTACATTTAGATGCGCGCGGACTAACAATTTCTTTTTGTCTTCTTTGTCGTTGCATAGCTCGCAATGAATCTCCTATATCATTGCCTTTCTTTCTTTTCCTGCTTTTTGATGAAACATTTAATACTACTAGAGACGATATTCGGCTTTTTTTAATCGCTTTCATCGCAGACTTTTAAAAATGAATAATGACAAAAGTCTGCTGTTACTTTTCATGAAAAACTTTCATCCCACCACGCACCCTCAATTTTAAAACTGTGCCCTACATACGTGCATCCTTTCAACATTCAAAAGCAACGTGTAAAAATTTTTACTCGCACGGACGTTCGTGGAAAAAAAATCCCATTCGCAAAACTTTTGAATAAAGCCTCTCTCGATCCACGCAGCAGCCCTAGTGAAAAGCAGCTCCCGTGAATTTCCGGCAATGCGAAGTAGATAACTAAAAAGCTTACGTGGCGGATAAAAGCTATCCGACGATATAATAGCATTTAAAAAGATATCTCTGTCTGAAACTATCAGTCGTGCATTCCGGAAGTTCAATTATCAAATTGACTCGTCGAATGATTAAAATCAGGGCTGATAAAATAATTCGCGCAGATTGACGCTTTGCTCGTTACGCAATCTTATCAGTGTTTTAATTAGTGCGTTGTTCTTCCTCTCGTCTAAATTTCGGCCTGACGTAGTTCTTTTTTTATTTTCGCGCACATGCAGAGTCAATAAAAAAAAAAGCTTAATTCCCTTCCCCCGCCGGTGGCGAAGTTACGGCAATTATGCAAATAAAACGACTCACAAATATCGCGATCATCCGCCGTGCACTTCTTTCTAAAGGCCTTTATGAATCGAGCGCTCGCGCGTGGGCGTTACATTGTCTTTTTTTTTTCTCCGGCACTTCGAAAAAACAAAGAAAAAAAAGAAAACACTTGCAGCGGTGCCGGTTTTGCGGTTCGACATGAATTTGTCACGATTAAACATTAATGGAGCTCTGGAGACACTTTCCAGTTCCGCGAATCGCAAGAGCAGCCGGGAAAGAAGCGAGAAACCGAGTGGCATCGACGAAACGTCGCACGAAATCATCTCTCGCGGCCGACGCACGCAGCGTCGCAATAATTCTTTGCACGCACACGAGCGCGTACGGCGACGTATAAAATTCCATTCACCGCAGCGGCGGCGGCGACAGCGAAGACTGCGCGCGTGCATAGCTCGGCGCAGCGGAGAGAAAGGGTAAATGAGAGGTCGCCGCGGCCGTCGCTGGAGAGGGGGAGCCGTCGGAAGCCAAGCCTCGAAGTCACAGTTACGCGCCGCGAGCCGCACGAGCACAACGTCGCTTTGTCCCGTGGTACGCACGCAACGCACCCAAACAAAGAAGAAGACTGAGAGGAAAAAAAATAGCTCGGCCGCGTTGCGACTGGCAGCAGGTCGCCGCGCCGAAGGATAGCTTCGGCGATACGTCGATCGGCGCGCGCGCGCTTTCACCCGATTTGCTGCTTTAGAAAGCGCGGCGCGAGTGCCAGTGAGTGAGTGTGCGTGCGCGCGAGTGAATTGCAGAACAGAGCACACAGCCGGCAAACTGGATGCGACCGACGGTGCCCCGTTGGCTGCGCCGCCGCCGCCGCCGCCGCCGCCGCCCGACATCACTGTCACTCAGGACGACCGGTGAGAACACGACGGGTACTCTCTTTTCTCCACCCGGCTCGCCAAATCGGCGCACGAGACGCTTTGCTCGCCCATCGGCTGCGCTCGCGTCATCAATTGGCACGCGCGCGTCGAGGGTAGCGCAACACCCAGGCCTCGTCGCCGCCCGTCCACGTACGCGCTTGCGAACGCCTCCTCCGCGCCCACGCGTCGCCGCCTCGGCAGTGTCGCCTCG